CCGAAACGTTGTATTTTGAAAAATAAACAGGACAGTGTTTTAAGATAAAGGCAAGACGATGGATAATGTCCAGAAACATAATATTTGTACTAATGTACCACCGTCACAAACCTTTAGATCTTATTTACTATTCCGGAATTTAGCTTTAGGGACTGTGGAACATCACGAAGCACTTAGCCGAAATTCGAACCTAGTTTCTCCAGAATGCAAACAAGTACAGAATGTTATCGCTGCACGGACGTGTTCGTTAGGTACGAGCTGAATGCTTAAATATTAGTCAGATTAATTTAACACTTCAAGGGGCAAGCTAATTATGTTGTAAGATTTATAGATTAGAAAGCGGCCGCCGTAGTCTAGGGGTAACGTTCCCACCTCATGACTCAAGGTACGCGGGTTCAAACCCGGCGGAGGTCGTGGAATTTTTAAGGGCGGAAAAATTCAGGGAACAAGCCCTCCGGGAGGGACTTTAAGCCGTGGGTCCCGTGTCGTAGCTTTACGGCACGTAAAGGAACCTCATGTCTCAAGGAGACCTCTGAGCCAAATTTGTAAGGACATTTCCCGCCCAATAATAGTCTCTAACGCCTCTGGTGGAGGGGGGAAGCATCTAGATACCACTGAGCCAGTAGAGGCCGAACTCGCTGGCTGAGTCGGGACTGATGGCACGCACCAATACCGGTAGGGTATAGAGATTGGTAGAATATCACTGGGACGTACAATAGACCACTGGTCGCGGTGCATGGGGAAACCGACCCCCTCCAATAATAATAATAATAATAATAATAATATAGATTAGACAGACTTCATGAATTTGACTCATATCCAAAATCTATGCGATTGTTCTAAATCTTATATAAAGATGACGTGTTAGGAATACTGTATTTCTTTCGGAAATGTCAGAGGTTGTAGATCAGTTCATAGTCGTTTTCAAGCTGACTGCGTAGTTTTACACACAGCCAGGAAGCAGAGATCAGTGTGTATGTCTAGTAAGCTTGGCCGGCTTCGTTAAGAGCAAGCCTCAGTCCGTAATCCACATACCGAACAGTGCATGCACACGATAATTATGGTCCAGTAGAGGTCGAACTAATTGAAGTCGGGCTGTAGTTGGACGGAATTCTGTTGCTTATGTGTCGCTCTTCTCCCCTCCACTTCTATCTCACAATTAAACACTGCCAAGTATCTCAGTCGTGTACTTTAGATGTCTGCCATGTTTAATTTCCCGACTGTCAACTACTGCTTGCCGGTGGTTATTCCAACGTACTGGTCTTCTGTAAAAATAAAGAATTTCATGAGAGAGACTTATGGGCCTTGTACATTTCTTCAACTGCTGCTGTTTCTTTACAGAAGCTAGTTGAAAATACGCCCCCCCCCCATAATGTTATTGACGAAATAAATCTTTATTGTAAGAGAAAGGAATTCCTGTCTAGGCACATACTCGTAATTTCAAATCAGTTTTTTAAATACCGATTAAAATCCCAGGAAGAAGTTATTGCCGTGTTATAGACAGGAAACGTTTCCATATTCATTCATTCATTCATTCATTCATTCATTCATATTCCTGCTGCTCCCACTTGATGCATAGGGCATCCATGGAACCCTTCGTTTCACTTCAGTTTCTTAATCTTAGACAGTCGGTAGGACTCCTTGGACGGGTGATCAGCCCGTCGCACGGCCGCTACCTATACAGGACAACAGAAACACAGAATCAACGTAGACAAACATCCGTTCCTCGAGTAAGATTCAAACCCATGGTCCCAGTGTTCGAGCGGGCGAAGGCGGTCACTGTGTTGGGCATATATAAGTATTACAAGGCAATAAAGGATAGGGGTAAAGCTATCCCTGTGCGTAATTAAGCGCCACGCCATGGAGACGTATGGGGCAGTGGAGGTATCGCTCCACAATTCTTGTCCTTGGCACTAAATAAAGGTGAGTGGTCGTCTTCACGCCCCGGCCGTTTTACCCCTAGAGGACGAGTTCACGGATAGGAGGCTCTCTGAGCCCCAGAACTGGTCTTGACGCTAAGGAGAAGAGAAAAATTTCTTATCTATGCCGGAAATCGAAAGCCGACCGTCCAGCCCGCACCCCGTCTCTGTACCGACTGAGCTATCCCGTATCCTGTTACAAGGCAATAATAATAATAATAATAATAATAATAATAATAATAATAACAACAATAATAATAATAATAATAATAATAATAATAATAATAATAAATGGATCTTCATTGTGAAGTTGTGGCAGTTTGGTTCGAACAAACAAAGCCAAAGGATTTGGAGGATGCCATCCGATGTTTGAGTCGACATCGTGATCAACAGCAAATTAATGAGACACGTCAGTGTATGAAGTTAACTTCGAAATTTGATTAGCCTATGAAGACCAAAAATACTGTATAACTGCATTTTTTACTGACGGCAGTGATGGTATGCGTCACTTAAATATTGTTTTGAGGAATTCACGGTATTACGGAGTTTTGAGTATCCCTGCTGTAGGCCGCGCCATAGCTCAAGGGGTTAGTCGCTGGCTTCCCACCGCGGCGGCCCGGGTTCGATCCCGGGTCTGGTCAAGTGGGATTTGTGGTGGACAAAGTGGCGCTGGGGCAGGGTTTCTCCGGGTGCTTCGGTTTCCCCTGCGAATCTTCATTCCACCAATTGCTCCACAATCGCCCTCACCTATCATCTGGGGCAGGTACAATAGGCCAGAAGTGGCCGAAGTACAAGGGACTTAGTCCCACCCCACTAGCAATAAAAAAAAATCCCTGCTGTAGTGCATGAACGAACTTTTAAATTGTCACAAGAAGCAAAATCCTTTCATTAGAAATCCATGTATGCCTATCTATGGCTCTACAGTCCTTCGGTGGACGTTCGCGGCTTTTTCAGTTTCTTAATCCTGTACACAGTCGATAGGGCTCCTTCGACGGGTGATCAGCCCGTCACAAGGCCGCTACCTACACACAGATCAACATAAACGCATACAGAGACATCCCAGCGTTCGAGCGAGCCTTGGGACCGCGCGCCACTGTAATCATCTTCAACGTATGTCTGCATACTGAATTTATATACTGCCCCGACAATGTTAGTCAGGCATTTCGTTTTTGTCATGTGAAACGTAGTCTGTACCTTCTTAGGTAGATTATTGATGTCATGTGGTTACTTTTCCTCCACGCTAATTGTAGAGACAATACAGCCACGTTTGTGATACTAACTTCCCGTTCCTAAAGCCCTGGTTCTTCACGTGAGGTTTAAAGATTGACTTCAGATTATTTTCGCACTACGTCATCCCTTGGATCAGTATTTTAAAATTAAACGAGTTTCAGTTATTTCTTTGAAATGCCGTTTTTATTCTTCGTATTTTTCTTGGCTCTGCAACGCGATTCGAGCCTTGACCTCTTCTAATCTTAGAATTTTCTAAACACCATTCACTACTCGGCTGGGTTTCTGAGAAGGGAGCTCAGGACGACAGAAGCACTCTGTTTGCACAGAGAAACGCAGAGACAAGTTCACGGTCTCCTGGTTTCAGTGCATACACGTCTCATACGTCGTGACCATTGCGTTCAAAGTACTGTAGAGACACTTAGTTACAACGGCTGTAAGCAGTTAGAATTGAATCTGAGACTCATTTATGATGCAGAGAATGATCTTTATGCCCTAGAAGACATAAAACTGTATCTGTCTACTATTCTACACCGATACTTTGGTGTGACCTGAATGCGCGCTGAATTTTGTCTAATTCCGTGCCAGAAATTGAGGTGTGAAGGGGCATGTGGGTTCGTAGAGCAATAGCTTCTGAGGGAGTGAAGTTGTTTGGCTGGTCCTTAAAGACACTGCCGCTTTACGATTCCTCTTGAAACACGTTTAAGGCCCGTCCACATTACTCGTGCTCGTGCGTCAGAAGCTTACTGCTGCCGGAAAATCAGGATCTGGAGCTAACAAAGTGGACGCCCAAACTGGTTTGCATACAGAGCCTTCGCATTTCTTCACAACAGATATCAGCTCCAGATCCTGACTTTTCCGGCAGCACTAAGCTTCTAAAGATGGGAATACATGAGCGCGCCGCTGCTGTAATGCAACATAGATCGAACGGGATGCGCGACTTATTCGCTCGTGTGTACGTGACTTTGAACACGCGCAGCGCACGCCTCAAATGCCGCGCAGCGATCCGGTTCCTGTCGGTTTTTCTGACGAACACAAAGGGATTTGTTGCCGCAGTGTGGTCGGGTTCGGTTGCCATTTGTCTCGTGAAGCGCGCACGCCTCAAACATGGAGTGGTCAGAAGAAGATATTTTGGGGCTCATAGAGGCATGCAAATCATTCCCTGTACTGTGCTATAACTACCGCAGCACCACTGCAGGCAAGCAAAGCTTCCTCGTCTTCCATGGTCGTGTGGACGGCGAAGACAGAATGGAACTGAGGTGCTCGCGGCTTGCGCGCCCCGTTCAGATGGTTCGTTGCGTGCGCGTCGCTTGTTCGAGGTGCACCAAATCACTCCGCGCATCACTTGTAATGCCGCGTTACAGCCGCGGCGCGCTCGTGTATTCCCACCTTAACGCACGAACACGAGTAATGTGGACGTGCCTTTATGCGCAGTCGAGCGGTCACGACTAAATGATGCGAGTGTAGATAATTATTGTTTTTTTATTTTTAAACTAGAAACACTAATAATTAAAATTTCAAGTGATCTGAGAGAGTAATCAAATACGCCATAAAGTGTAATTTTCTCGTCATGCTTTCCACCTTTACGATCTCTGAGTGACACATAACAAGGAATTGATTGACGTGTGACGAATAGTTGAAGAAGAATTGAGTATTTTCAGTCTATTGATTTATGGATTCATACTAGTAACGGATTACATTGTCTTTCGGATTTGAGTTTCTCATTGCGGTGACTGAGAAAAGCTGGTTTTCTAAATAGTAATGCTGTCTAGTTCTGTGAGACTCCGACGTTTCGGAGCAACATATCGCCGCCGTCCTACTGAGACGTGTGTTAATCATATTTTATGTTTGCAGCCGGCGACGCTGACGTCACAGCCCCGGGTGACGAGTGGTGGCGTGGCGGGCAGGTCACCTCGTTACCGGGGTGAGGCAATGGATCTGAGTTATGTGACGGAACGGATAATCGCGCTGTGGGTACCAGGAGATGTGAGTCCCGTGGCGTACCGACAGGGGCAGCAGAAGGCGGCCCACATGTTGCACACCAAGCACGGTAACAACTACATGGTAAGTCTCTGTTGCCTTAATGTAAACGTAAGGGGGTTATAAATGCCCGTCACTGATACAGGAGTCTAGGCATTGTCCATTGTTTAGATAAGTTTACAGTTTTTGGAGATTGTGTCTGGGTCTGAGATGACACAGTCTGTCTGGTTCCTTAGTTTATTTAACTGGGGTTTCTTGCCCGGCGAGTTTGTGTGAGTGGGGAAGTGGCCGAGAATATTTTATTTACTTTGACTATCGCTGAAACCGTGTATGCATATCATCGAATGTTTGAATAAGAAATAAATTGGCGCGGGGGGGGGGGAAAGAAGAAAGAAAAAGGTCATGGGCCTTGTAAGATTGGAAGTTTTCACGGCGGTGACTATGAAGAAAATAGTCTTCTAGGATGTTGCGCCGTGTAGATATTGTGTTAACCGACGTTTCTGAGGAACGTATCGCCTCCATTTTCAGGGTAGAAGACAAAAAGAAGTTGAGTAAACCCGACTGGACTCAGTCTGTTGCACCTGCTCACGCTGGTTCGCTCGCGGATTTCTTCTTGTCTTCTACCATGAAGATGGAGGCGATACATTCCTCCGAAATATCGGTTAACACTACCTACACGTCGCCACATCCAAGAAGACTGCTTTCTTCACAGTCATGGCCCTTATTTATGGTTTACTCCAGGAATTACCCTGAAGGATTTGAGGAAAACCAAGAGAAAGTTCAAATAACCTGCCGTTTTGGAGCCGATATTTTGACCCGGGAGCTCCCGCTGACGAAGCAGGAATGCTACTTCAATACTGATTTTATAGGAGGGTGAGTGGGCTCAGAGTGAAGAGAAAAATTTAATCGCTGCCGGGAATCGAACTCTCGTTCTTCGATCGTCGCTCCTGTAACCTAGCCAGTATACCGACTTAGCTTATGGACTAGATTTATGTAACGCACTTTTCACAGCATCATTCCTGAAGACGGATGTAGGGTCAGCCTGCGAAACATCGTTATAAGCCGACCTTTTTTTTTTCAGACTACGGAGAATGGTTAAAGGGAATATTCGCATGACGTCACGCCTATAGATTCTGCCACACTGGACTTAACTGGTTTGATTACCCGCAGAGTCAAAGCATTTTTTTCTATTCCACAGTGTCTAGACCAGCTCTGGAGCCCACCCTGTCTCCTATCAAATGGGTACAGGGGCTCTTTCCTATGGGGTAAAACGGCCAGGCTGTGAAACTCATCATTTACCTCCATCTAGTGCCAAGGTCAAGAATGGTGGAGCTACAATTCCACTCCCCCATAAGTCTTCATGGTGTAGTGCTTAATTTCTTAAGTACAGGAACGAATTTACGTTGCCTGTTTACTCTTGCATTGTAAGTTACACACCCACCTAGCCTAAGTTCCTTATCCTGTAAGAAAAGATGGCCCGTGATACCATGCTGTGTAGGGTTAACGCAGAGCAGTATTTCAGATTCTCAGAGAACGTGACATTAACCCCATACCCTGGGTCTATTCCACATTTGTAGTTTCTGATTGATTTAATTTCATCGATATTAATAAAGTAGAGCCTATCCTGAGTCACTTATATTAGCTCAAAAAATTCCCTGCATAATGTGGAAACCACTGGTTCAGTACCATGTTTACAGAAACCAGCCACTGGCAACTGAAAGCAGCAAGCAAATTCTTGTAGAACGCTCACGCAGCTTCTATGTGTCGTGACACTCTGTAGCCTGAACACTCTTACTTACTTACTCATGGAACTGAGCCCTTCTGGAGGAGCCGCCAATTCTGCAGCTACTCAATTTCCCAGCATTTTATCGAACCCGAAGGTTCATTACCGTGTTCACAAAAGCCATTCACTGGTCCCTATCCTGAGCCAGATCTATCCAATCCATACCATCCCATCATATCTCTCTAAGATCCATTCTAATATTGTCCACCCACCTACGCCTTGGTCTTTCCTGTGGTCTCTTTCCTTCTGGCTTTCCCACCAATATCCTATACGCATTCCTCCTCTCCCCCATTCGTGCTACATGCCCTGCCCACCTCATCCTCTTTGACTTGATCATTCTAATTAGACTTGGAGAAGAGTACAAGTTATGAAGCTCCTCATTATGCAGTTTTCTCCAACCTCCTGTCATTTCATCTCTCTTCGGTCCAAATATTCTCCTGAACATCCTGTTCTCAAATACCCTCAGTCTATGTTCCTCCCTTAATGTCAGAGACCAGCCTGAACACTCACCGCGTGAAAATCTCAAATGTTTGTTTGTTCACAGACGTTTTAGTACGAGGTTACAATAATTTAAAAATATTATCAGCTTCATATGCACCATCTAGTGTTTAATTTGGTTTTATAGAAAGTTACTAAACGATTTTACATAAGTCGGCATGGTCTGAATTAGTTACAGCAGCCGATAAAGAACGGCATGAATTCGCGCCGTAGTATATAGGCAACTTCTCTAGCGCCCGCGTATTGCGGTCAGTGCGCTACTAACCGTACATGGTTACTTCAAGTACGCGGTATGTCCATGCCGCTGGCAGGAAGTTCCGGCATATATTAAGTGCACTTCCAGCCGAGGTTGTAAGTTCGATGCTGGGCACGGAACATGCAAAAATATTACGCTATGGACTTTTGGCCTTTATATTTGTGAAAGGTACTCACAGAACCTGTGCTGATTGTGTCAAGTTAAATTTAATAAGACTTTTATGTCTTGTAAGATTTGAGGCTTTCACGGCGGTGACTATGAAGAAAGCAGTCTTCTGGGATTTGGCACCGTGTATATGTGGTGTTAACCGACGTTTCGGAGGAACGTATCGCCTCCATCTTCAGGGTAGAAGAAAAAATATAAGAAATCTGCAAAGCGAAGCAGTCTGCTTTTACCGGTTCTCACGGTCTCTTCGCTTTGCAGATTTCTTATATTTTTTCTTCTACCCTGAAGATGGAGGCGATACGTTCCTCCGAAACGTCGGTTAACACCACATATACACGGTGCCAAATCCCAGAAGACTGCTTTCTTCACTTTTATGTCTTGTTTCCATTTTAATTCTTTACACGTTAAAATGATGTCCAGCCTAGATGTATTACAGCCGCTTTTCTCTTGAGGTGTAAATAAGTTGTCAAATGAAACCTTCGCTATCGTCTTTCGCAGTTCCGTCTTCAGTGTTTGTGTAAAAAAAAGTAAAAAAGTAAAGCTCTCCCTGTAACAGGCCGTGAAGGCCCATAGGGTTGTGAGACGTTGAGGCTCCCACATTATCTAGACAATGGGCTCAAAGATGGCGGTAAGGGTGTCAGCCTTACCCACCGGCCGCGCTTTACTCCGCAGGAAAATTATTTAATTAATTCCTGGTACTCATTTCTGTTAGAGGCTGAGTAAACCCCAGGGCCTAGTGTATTTTAAGTAATACAAATATAGAGATAAAAGAAGGCCCTTAACTCAAAATGAACGACCATGCCATAGCTCAGGCGCTTAATCGTCGGCTTCCCACCTCGGCGGTCCGTGTTCGACCCCATGTCAGCACAAAGTGGCACTGGGGCAGGTATTCTTCGAGTACTTAGGTTTCCCTTGCCAATTCTCATTCCAACGACTGCTCCACATTCATCAACTATCATTCGGACCTGGTACATAGGCCAGTTTGTGGCAGACGTACCAATTGGACTCAGTCTCACCCCATTTAAAAAACATCGAAATGGAAAGGTAAAAAAGGTAAGGGTAAAGTTGCTCTTGTGCTTACCTAATTAAGCTCGACACCATGAAGACGTATGGGGGAGTAACTTCACTATACTTGGGAGGTGAGTGGTCTGCTTCTTCCCTCAGGCGCTGTACGTCCAGGGAAATAATCCCATGCCGGAAATGGAAGCCCGGCCGTCCTGCCCGGAACTCGTCGCTATACTTTCTGAGCTATCCCGGCACCCGGATAAATTTCATGTGTTCTACTCATTCTCTGTGATATTGTGTGGATTTGGGAAAATAAGTTTCCCGTTATGATCCAGTGTTCTTCTGCATGTGTAGGTGTTCAACTTGTCCGAGCCCCGACGGGTGACTCGGAGCCATCATGAGCGAGTCAGAGAGTTGGGTTGGCCTGCAGACCTGGCGCCCCCACTTGAACGGCTGTGTAGCGTCTGTAAGGACATCGAATCCTGGTTGAGTGAGGACTCTCGTCGCATTGCTGTTATACATGCAAGGTGAGGACTCCCGAATCGAGAGTGCTATAGGTTGAAATATTCTGTACGTCTAGCGAATTTTCACGTTAACTTTCCATGAATTACGTCCCTTCTTGAAAAACTCATAGTTACTCAGTTTGTCAACAAATTACATTACCGTATCCACAAGAGCTCGTCAGTGTTTCCTATCCTGAAATAGTTTGAAATCAAGGGTAGATAATGCATTTTTCCGTCAACATATGTTCCCCTGATTTCAGTCCATCCGCCCAGCACGTTGCAGCATTGTACACTGAAACGAACTCAGCCCACACCCTCACAGTTTATTTAATATCTATCTTAATATTATCTTTCCACCAAAGCGTAGGTTGATCTTGTTTGACGACTAAAATTCTCTGTTCCTTTCACACTTCACACTCTTCATGCTTGTAAGATTCCTCGCCGATCACAGTCTGAGTAATTCGGTCTGCTTTATATGATGCAGAATGACAATTATGAAGGTCACCCCTCCGCTGTCCTCTTACTTGTTTTCTGGTCTAAATATTCACCTCAGTACCCTCTTCTAAGACAGCCGCAACCTGAATTTTTCCCTTCATTTTTGTGGCATAATTTGCGACTCTGTCAGTATCTGGGCCAGTGGTTCCCAAACTGGAGGTCATGCTCTCCGGGAAGAGCGCGAGGTCTTCACAGAAGCTCAGTTTGTGATATAAAATTCAGTTGAAATATTCTGGTGTGTAGCCGGTGATGGGGGGGGGGCATCATGTCAGAAGGTCGGAAATGAATGATTCAGACTATCAAATGATGGTATGATCGGTGAATAACGAATTGTAAGGGATTTTGAAAGAAGCGGCCGTGACCTAAAGTATACTCTTCCCAGCTGCTTGGAAGGAGCTGAGGGAATCCACGAAAACCCGTATTCAGGATAGTCATGTCCTATCAGAGATTCAGGTTAATTACCCGCTAATAGAAGTCAGAAATATTGCCGCTGCACCAGCCTACTCTGTCATTCCCTCAATAATAGGGAGTAAGATTCTCACTCATGCAAAACAGAAGGTAAAACCTTAGTTTTCTTAATCTTCACAGTTTCAGGCAGAATGCGTATACTGACTGTGACTGTAGATTGAGGATAGTTAAAATCCGTCACCTAAGCGAAATGCAGTCTGTTATATTTACCCCGGCGTAGTTGGGTCGAGGAGAAAGAGATGGCGTTATTACCGATAATGGCCTTCGTTAGCTGACGCATCCATTTAACCTTACTAATTAAGATACCGTCATCTCATAGAGCAGCCACAAACTCCACTCGCCATACACGGAGTGAGGACGGAGCTGAGTAAATCAAATTAAGGAAACATACAGTAAACACTTTTACGAGAGAGGTTAACAAGGAGTGCTGTAATTCTGTCGTAGGGCTCGTTCAGAATCCCTGCCTGTCTAAATGTTAACATACCCAAGTAGGGGACATCGAAGTAACATATTGTCACGATTTAAGGTATGTGACTAGACAGGTATTGATCGGTGAATGGATTTATTCACCACTTATACACACCACTCTGAACTTCAAGTAATTACAACCCCATCACTAATCTGCACACTTTACATATCACCACAACACGAACTAAGCTTTTTTCCAGCCTGCTGTCTCTTCACCAGCCATTCCCTGACAACGGCTTCTAACAGTGGATATTCTTCAGCTTCATGCTCTCAGGTTCTGTCTTTACAGCCTCCCGTGCAGAACTCAACTCTCAACCGACAACTGACAACTGCCAGGCTGGCGACCATTTCACACCAAACCTCCGAGTCTTCTGTTCACAGGCTGACTTTCAATTCACTAGGTCGCCCCATGTCTCTTCAAGATAATTTCTCGGCACAGACCACATAGAAAACATCCCAGTTTCCATTGTTCTAGTCCAACTGTTGAAGTTGCCAAATAACTGGTTGCATAACACCGTTTCCAACAGTGACTCTGTTGTGGAGGCGTGTTTACCGTGCCGTTGCATGAGAACGGCTGTTGTCTCGCTGTTTGTTTCGATGTCTTTTCCTAGCAACGTGTCTATACGCCACAATATTAAATACCCCGAAGGTACCTGATGTTTGTAGTGCATTGCTGATTCCGGCGGAACTTGGCTAATGGGTACCACACCGCTGAGTCATATGTATAGGGACGTGGAATAGGTTCGCTAACCCCCTGTAGGGCAACGGGGAAAGACCGTATGCCTTGCATCTGGAAGGCACCTGGTTCTAAAGAGGTCGCGCAAACGGCTGGTACCTAATGCGATGTTTCCAATTCTTGGCGGAGAATTATGAGTCAGGATGCCTCAGAAAAGTGGCTGCTTGTAAGATGTACAACCTGGGTTCGATTCTCGTTTCAATCAGGGTTGCTTCTCTTTGTCACCACGACAAGAACGGCTCTGCGGCCATGTCATCCTGCATGTGGGGAGGAATCTTACTTCTTCATGGCGGAATGATTACCCTCATGGTCAACTTCACGTCTCTCGACAATGTTTACGTATTACCTTACGGGTTAATGGCGATTTTTTTTTTTCACATTGCTCGTGGAAGCCGCCTTTCAAAGACAACCCCCGAAATGTGTAGTGTCATGTTATCCAGTTAGGAAACATTAAATGGTATGACTGAGTTCAGTTACATACGTAAGTTTATTAAGAACTTCGAGTTAATAGGTTACCCTAATACGTTTAATTATGGTTTTCTTTTTTGGGGGTTTCTTCTAGTCTTCCTCTCACCTACAAATGGCATTTCCGTTGCGACACATTTGTATAACGACAGTATTTTGCATGAGGCGTATTAATTACGTGGACAAATACACAATTTAACCCACTGTACAACGTACGTGAGATAAGCAGTGAGGGTGTGAATTGGATTTAAATGACTCAGGACGGGGCCCATTCGTGGACTGTTATGAATGCGGTAATGAACCTTCGGTTTCCATAAAAACAGATAAGTTATTGACCATCTGAGCGAATATTCTCTTCTCAAGAAGGACTCTGTCTCTTGGAATTGGTTGGTTGGTTAGCTAGTTAGATATTAGTTAACTAAAAAAATTGTACTGATTCTAGTGACTGGTTCTAAAACAGTTTTTATGTTTTGGTTCTGTTTTTAATAGGGAAAATCAGCGTCTTAACATTTCGAACATTTTTGTTCCCAAATAACCAGCTTCAGAGTTCGTGGCCTTCGTTAGCTGACGCATCCATTTAACCTTACTCGATATACATCAGAGTATATTTCAGGCTGGATGAAATGATCGTGAACGTACGTGTTTTTTAGGAACACTACTAATCTTAGTGGCAGACCTCAAGATGCGGTTTTTTATTGGCATCGAACACTGGTCATTTAATCTAAAAATATTGGCCCAGGAATGTAATGTTTGTTATAAATGAATCAGTATATTATTTAAACGGCTTTACAGAATGTTGGAATTAGCGATTTTGCAGTAAAGTTTGTGTTCTGTAATTTATACTGTTTAAACTGGAACGTCGTGTATAAAGTAAGAGATAGTAGAATAACTTAAGTCCTCTGTTCCCACTTAAGTATTGTAACGTGTTTGGGCGATTGAGGCGCCGTTCGGATTGTTTGGTTTTATTAACAACCTACAAGTCGAAGAAAGCAGTCTTCTGGGATTTTGCACCGTGTATATGTGGTGTTAACCGACGTTTCGGAGGAACGTATCGCCTCCATCTTCAGGGTAGAAGAAAAAATATNCTACAAGTCGTAACTACAATTATCTTTGACGCTCTTGCTGATTTACATAATTCATCATCACTCCATGTTAATCTTCTCACGACGAACTTTCCGTGACTATCTTCCATCGAGAAATCTTTCACTGTCACTTAAGCACTCTCACACACTCCCAGTTACTCTCAAATACTGACATTTGTTCTGTCTGTAACTGTCGTTATATAGTTTCTGCACTGACCACGCAGAAAACAGCCTGTATTGTTTTTCATTTCATGCATTCTGTTGTGTTATAATATATAATTTCTTTATTAAAACCGTCACAACACAACTATATTAAGGTTAGTGCCTAGTTTATCTCTGCTACATGTTTCGGCGACCAAAAGCCATCATCAGATAAATACATGGTCAACATATATACACCACTGAGCTGCAGTACTACTAAAATTGGATACAATAATATTAATTATATTAAAATACTTGGCGTAAAAGTACAGTAAATTAGACTATATAAAACAAAAGTTATAGTATAAAACAAGATTAAAATTCTTCAAGTGATGCTTTACATCATCGAGTCAGTTGTTAGTTTTTGTGATTTTGTTGTGTTCCCACGGACAAATTGGAGTATTCTATATTTTGTGTATATATAATAAACTGTTATTGGAGGACGGAAAGCATTGGACTGGATACAACCTGACGACGACAAGGCCCAACAATGAGCTCTTGTGAATACGGTAATAAACATATGTTACGTAATGGGCGAGATAGTATTCCTTAAAGGTATGGTCCGATATCATCTTCTCTTTGGAGTGTTTAGATGTCCTGGTCTTCAGGTTTAGAGCGAAATTTGTCAGATTGTGACCTGAGGCGATTGTATATCTCGATGTTCCCCGCGGATAGTCGAGTAACGATTTCAGTTTGGCGACTAGCTCTGTGGGATAGCAGGCCCGTTCCGTGCGCCCTACAGAGACAGCTGGCTGTGTTTCATCCCCTACCGCCCTCTGCTCAGACTGGTAATCATACATACTGACCAGAAGAAAGATTCCGACGTTCCAATTGGATTTTGTTGTGGATAAACTTGTGACCTTTGCGTAGATTTTTACATTCCCCACCACCGCCGCCGCCACCAGTAGCGCTGTACGGTGACGTAGAACGTTTTAAGTAACAAACTGCATAGTTTCAAAAATCATTTTTACTGGCATTTCTGTTCTCTTAGGACTTGCCGAAAAATAGTAATAAATTATGTATGAGACGTGTTGTATGTTATTTATAGATCTACTGATTATTTATATATTCACCCCCATCTAGTGTGGAGGGTTAAGAAAGACTGGAGCTGTAAGTCCATGGGAAAGCCAAAGCCCTGGTGGACTTTAGTACCGATCCTTTTACTAATTCTTGTACTATAAGCGGTTCTGAAAAAAATTAGGTTAGATATTAGTTTCATGTGAAGTAGGGTTTAAAATTTCCCGGTATCCATAGAAATTAGATTTGCCTCACAACATCCGGTGTAGGCCCAGCGACACCAAATTTAATCAGTATCTGTTATGTATTTTTGAAAACGAAACATGCGACAGGAGAGATGGACATGACCTTGCCATTGTACGTTCATTTGAAGCACTTTATATTCAAATGTATAAAAGACGTGTTAATGTGTGAGGGTGTATGTTTCCTCATTTGCTGTCCTCTCTGTGACAGGATTTCAAGACTTCTGCTGTGGGCCATACCCTGGCCCCCCTTCCTGTGGGGTTATTTTTTCATGTCAGGCACTTTTCAGTCGCTGCAGAAATAGAAACAAACCGGAAGGGAATGTGGAAATGGGTTTGACCAAAATACATACTGACCACGTGTTTCCTGCCATCTGCAGGCCGTGACGTAATTACAGTGCTCCCGGTTCTTAACTCTAGTTGCCTCTTGCCGAAGAAGTGCGTACCGCGTAACACCCTACTCGCGACTTCATGAACGGAAAGAGAGCCGATGGTTGCGAGCGTGTTTAATATTACCCACAATACCCAGTTCAGAGATCCGTTACGCAGGATGCCGTTCTGTACAAACAAACCCCATATTAGACGTAAAAATTACCTACGTCTTCATCGCGAGATGTGTCTGTAAAATTGTTGATAGCCGTAACTGGGTTCCGATCGGAACATACTACTGAAGAAGTTGAGCGTCACGAACCTCATCAGAGTGCAACATGACAAACATCACCGAAGGTCGCGGCCGATTGGGTAGCACTCTGCTTCGTATGCTGAAGGACCGAGTTGAAATTTCCGCCCAACGAAGCAGGCAGCAGGTTCCTTCGGAATGTTGGTAGCCAGCGACGAGACTGTACGGTGTCATAACCTAGAAGACAACATTCCAAATAATCACCGCTGTGATAAACTCAAATGTCATGCATTGTATGTTATGTAATGACGTAGTTGGGTCGATCGGACGGGTTGTGTTTTCTTTCCAGAATTCTGCATTCGGTATGTTGCAATAAATTTATGTTTTAGTCTGATAATATTTATATATCGCTTCATTTTGAATTAATGTTTATGGTGAAGTGTGACAGTATATTATTGTAAATATAATTTTTTATATATAAAAACTAAAAAAAACTAGACTCCGTGGCTTGAGTCCGCAAGCGAACTATACCGACCCAACGACCGCCGCTTGTTGCCGAAGTTAGTGCCAACTTTTGCTGTTAGAGGGTGTGGCGTGGTCAGCGCAGCGGATCCCCACGGCCGTAGCGACGTTGTATCTGCAACACAGGGATTACTGAAATTGTGAATGTGTCCTGTACACAGCGTGCCGTAAACTATATTGTTCATGAACGTGGCGACATTGTATTTGCAACAGAGGGATCACTGAAATTGTGAAGGTGCCCTGTAAACAGCGTACCGTAAACTACGATGTTGTTCATGAACATGACAGTGTTTTATGTGTTCCAGAGGGAGCAAAGACCGCATTGGGGTTGTGATCGCTGCATATATGCACTACACCAGTATATGTGGAAGTGCTGATCAGGCTCTGGACAGGTTCGCCATGAGCCAGTATCTGGAAGATAAAGTGGGAGATCTGGAGCAGCCCTCACACAAGAGGTGAGTCACAGAAATATTGTAGGCGATCTGCTAGGTTCTCCAGTACGGTACATTAGCGCATGCTAAACGCCACGTACACAGACGGTCAGCAAGGGTAGAGGGGCAAACTGTGTAGGGGAATTGACCGCAGATCCTGCAGTTCAGTCTGAAATTCATATCCGAATGTGAGTACAGAATGTAAGGCTACATTATAGGATGTAATATTAGTGATTGTCTTTCCTTCCCCATTAAAATTTCAGGGATCTGTAGAAATGATGATGCGATTAAAAATATAAACAGTACGAAAGCACTGAGACGTCACTCAAAACGTGATTTCGAAAAAGCTTAAAATTAAAACAGTTACAGAATAAAATCGGAGCTGTTTAGCAACAGTTAAAAATTTGGATTTTGAAAGTTTCTTAAATCGCCAGCGTAAAGGATGAATTTGACCACCCACTCAAATTTATTTCCGACGTTTTGAATGTGGATTTTTCTTCCACGTCCCCCGATCCAGCCACCACGACCGTTTATTTGAACCTTCTCTTATACCGAGGCCGGGGTTATGCTGTAGTGTAGTTGGTTGAGGCATTATGCTACAAGCCAGAAGGTCGCGGAATCGATTACCGATGAGGCCATTGGATTTTTCAGTTGACCTAATCCTTTCAGCCGCACTATGGCCCTGGGGTCGATTCATCCTCTAACAGAAATGAATACCAGGAATTTTGCTGGGGGTAAAGGGCGGCCGGCTGGCGTGTAAGGCTGACAACCTCGCCGCTATCTGTGAGCCGATTGTCTAGAAAATGTGGGAGCCTCGACGTCTCACAGCCGTATGGACATCCACGGCCTGTTACGTGAATAGCTTTACCTTTTTTTAACGCGACACTGCGGCCACGAACTGAAATCCCATGGATAGTTAGAATGACGGAGGTGTGGCTTCTATGAGCCCGAAACGCCTGTAGATAACGAAGCTTATCACGTGGCTCAGTAATAATTAGAACAGGATGAAAACATGACTGGAAGATCAGAAGGTTTGTATAGCGGTAACGTTTTAAACTGAAGAGGTTTCGATTAAAATCTCAGCTATCATAACCGAGGGTGTTCATGGTTCTCCTCATCCATATGCTAGGATAGTACCTCGATTATGTTACCACCGTTTTCTTTCAAATCATTTCCACTCATCAGTCCTACCATTCGAAGTCCGAAATATCGACAGCGCCACGAAATGAACCACAAAAAGTTTCGGGTCATGTAGGGAGGTGCACTGGAGGGTGAAGCGTAACAGCCGAAAGGGGTTGTGGAGGGGGACTGGCTTCAGTGGGCCCAGTACAGTTGCTGTGAAGACTGATCACGTGATGATCCCCAGGTACGTCGAATACTTCTCGGGGCTACTCTCTGGCAGCATCCGAATAAACTCTGCTCCATTGTACCTGACGCATGTCACCGTGCTAGGGGCTCCGGCCTTCGAACCCGCAGAGGGACGAGGAGGAGGTGCAGGAGGAGCTATCGACGCTGCAGGAGGATGTCGGGCCTTCCTCAAGGTACGTGTGTGGTTGAAGTTGTGATGTCGGTAACTGACCTGTTTATATATTTACCAACTCTTTGCTTTATGGATATTGATATAACGGATTTTCACATCATGGTATTTTAAAAATGTATGCATTTGTGAAATCTGGACGTTGCAGTAAAGACTAATACAGACTGACGTTAAAGGCAGCAGAGACGAATGTCATGAGACGCAAAGTAGACTAAAGTTTATTCTGACGTAGTAGAAATTAAGATATTGTGTAAGAGAAATGGACAGAGATCCAATCGGTAAGGGTAGTAACAGAGAACTGGATAAACACTAACGCCAGATCGGCAACTTCATGATCGACTAGGAGGAAGATGAACTTTAAAGTGACTCTTTGACGGAAATTATCCCGAGCCCGAAACACACATTTACAGACCTGGTTTGGTGACCAGAAACTGGTGTTTTCACGGCGGTAAGTTTTATGTAGTGCAGGCATGTCGATCGCGGGACGATTTTTGGTCGATCTCATAGGCCTATAAGGAAATTATACGTGAAAAGCATGTAAATTCACTTGTAATATAATATGATTATATTCAGATTTTGAAAGGAAAATACGTATGAAAGTAGTCTGTACTTTCAATGTGTGTTGCTTTTACAGCAAACATCATGTGTCGTGTTATTTTTACCAATATTTTTGCTTAAAGCGAGGTNGGGACTAAGTCCCTTGTACTGCGGCCACTTCTGGCCAATTGTATCAGCCCCAGATGATAGGTGAGGGTGATTGTGGAGCGGCTAACCGCTTGAGCTATGGCGCGGCCCTGATGGGTGAGCACCAACATTTCGGAAGAAAATCCTGCCTCCATCTTCAAATAATAACTGCTGATTGTGTCAGAATGTTCTTTCGGCAGGCTGGTAACCACCCATCAGCCTAACATGGTGTCATAACCCAGAAGGCCTTATGTGTACACGATTTTTGTCATCCTTGCATGGAAGCACAACCTTTGTTTCACCCTACTTAACTATATAACTCGTTCCTTCTAGTGAAATAAAGCCCAAAGGATCACTTCGAACCAGTTCTTTACTACATACTGAAAAGAGCCCTTACTTCTGGGGTCTGGCGGAGGCCAACGAGTCTGGAGTTAGTTCTATCGTCCCGTAATCATTTTGTAATAAAATTAGGTGAAAATACAAAAAAAAAAAATTAAATGTAGAGTGCAATAGTTATAAGCACAGCCGAAACAAAAGAAGAGGAAAGAGTTTATGAATCCATGAATTCCGTGTGGAAAATTATTTGCACAGCAAACGAACGCCTCTCATATGCTATTTGTGTATAGTTCAGTGTCACTTGACTGATCCTTCCTACGCATTTCATGATATCTCATGATATCATAATCAAGTTCTGTTTGCAAGTTACGTAACGTATATGATATCACCTCAGAGACATAAGTAAACAGGTAACAGGAATTGGCCTCGTCTCGATTGTTAATGTTAACTTCAGCATGTCCTTGTTTTCTAATTGGATGATTATTAAATTTACCTGCTCGGGCGGCCAGACAACTGTGATTAGAAACAGCATTTCCATTTATGATCATATTGGTTCGTTCAGGCTGTTCACAAGGAACCCCCCTCCGAGTGCAGCGCTCGTAGTGTCTTACAGCTTAATCTCATGGCGACTGTCCCTTTAAACTCTGTGTACACGACCCAAGTTCTTGTGCCCTGTAGGTCAGGCGAACTTCGTGTACAAGCTCTCCACAGTGCTGCTACTATTTTTTTTTCGAACACATGTAAAAAATTTTGTATAAAGTAGGCCTACGTTCTGAGATGCATAATCTCGAGCCCGGCTATGGTCATGTGGGATTTGTGTCTGAGAGAGTGACTCTGGAGCAGGTTTTCTCAGAGTACTTCGGTTTCCCCTGCCAGTTTTCATTCCACCGGTTCTTCCACAGTCCCCATCACCTAACGGCCGCAGCAACAAGTCTCACTACATTAAAAATAAAGAAAAAAATAATACATGCCACCATCAAATTGGGAACATACTTCTCAGTATTGCAATATGTTACGACGATGCATAACGCGTTGTTAGGTATACTCAAGGCTCACAGTGTCCAGAAAAGACCAGTTGTGATCGAATGATCATGGAATACAGACACGTCGAATACTGTGACATGTTCTTAAGGTGTCGATACGTAACGGTTGAGTTGCTGCTGCACGAGAAGATGCGCTGCGTGGCCTGGTCAGCGTGAACCAGACGCTACTGCGTTTCGACGCTCGAGGAGCTTCGTAGTGAGGCAGGAAGTGTTAACACGTAAGGCACACATGGATGCGGGTGGCCCGCGGACTGTACGGACCAGCCAAAGAATATTGCAACTCTGGAACGAAGGCCATGTGGAAGTTAGGCGATATCGCACGAGAATCTGGACTGTCTCAGCCGAGGGGCCCTCGGAGTACTGCATGGCGATCAGTTGCGTCTGATAACAAGTCAGGCGATATCGCACGAGAATCTGGACTGCCCCAGCCGAGGGCCCACGAAGTACTGCATGGCCAGGAGTTGCGCCTGATAACAAGTTAGGCGATATCGCACTTCTGCTTTCAGACGATTTCCCTCTGCGGATACAGTTGTGAGAATGGATACATAACACTGCGGCTGAGCGTCACGGAGCTTCAGAGCACTATGGAGTAGGTGTGGCAGTGGTTCAACGCGATATACACGGAAAGCGAATTGGACACCGAAGGCCTCTTGCATGGTCACCTCTGTCGCTGGATCTATCAACGGTGATTTTTTTTTCTTTTCCCCCCCGAGACTGTTGAAGATCTCGCGGCAGGAGTTCAAGCACCTGTGATAACGGCCGATGCCAGCTTGTTACTGCGTGTTTGGGAGATTGCTTTGAAATTGACAGAGGCCCAGCGAACACCAATTGTAACTACGTTGTAGACGCTCAAGATTTTGATCATTGATAGCTTGCGCCATTTGACTGTGAAGTATATATTGAATATTTCATGTCACAGGGCATACGTTATCCATTATTTTCGCCCCTTTTTTTAAATAGGGACTCTCACTGTTGGAGAGTTTTTACGCGAATTTCTTTCACTCTGTATGTTTGAATTTTGTCGCGTGCTAAAATGGAAGATAAATCCGGTTCTGGAAGCAGCATACCAGGAGATGTGTGCACGATTTGTTTTCAGTATTGGAGACCGATCGGTGAAAGAGTTTGTTGCAGTTCGTTATGTGGTGGTTGCTTATGAGTTGTTTAAAGTATATGCTGAGATGAAAGATAGGCGACGGCGGTTGAAGTGTCAGCAGTGCCATCTTCTAGTACACTTGTATGACGTGGGGATGTATGAGACTGAATGTCATATAAATTAAAAATATTATATCAATTTAAACAATTAAAAAATTGAGATACACAAATTAAATTCCACACTGAAATTTGACACAGCGTTCCACGTTAAAATGCATACCGAAGACTGAATTTGTGCCAGAAATAACAAACGTAAGACGAAACCTTCTAGTTCCAGTGGTAATAAGGCTAGAATTGATCACGTGGTGCCATTTCTCGTATGAGATGTAGCCCTAACGAGAACTACGAGAACCAGTACCCCAGAGCTTCAGTTGCTGATTTAGCAGTCTTGGATGTTACGTAATGATTTCGTCATAGGAAAAATATCATGTTTAAAGTAACGAATCCGTGACGAGGCTGTAAAAAAGACAAGTGACAGCCTTACAGCTGTGACCCAACTTGACAGTCGCATTGATAACGCAGTGTATGTTGCAGGTATATGAGGGTCTGATTCCCGTGTATACGTCAGGCGTGTACAGCGTTTGTGGTGGAACCCGGCAGTTCACAGTGAACGTAGCAGGGGAGAGGCAAAGAAGAGGACTACAGCTGAGGGGTGACATACTACTGAAATGCTATCACAGGCATTATAATCCCGTACCTGTTGGTTCACCCAGCACTCATTCCCCAGGGGCTGCAGCAGCCACAGAGCGCCCGCAGAGAGAACTCATCTTTGCCTGTCAGTTCCACACATGCGCAGTGACGGACTATACCCTCAGTTTCACCAGACAGGAGCTGGACTTTGCCTGCAGTGGTTAGTACGAACATGAGGAATCAATATAAGTACCGTATGACCGCGTATGGAAGACTTTTATAAACACTCTTTTGACTCATGATTCTAGGTAGAACTCTGCAGACATGTATTCAGGGCATAATTCGATTAAATATCACTTAGGTAGTAAGCTGTGCTGGCTGTTTTGATGGACCGGTCGCCGTGAACCTGTCAACATGGGTAAGAACCTCCCTGTACAGCATTGCTTGACTAAATACTTCAGCAGTTCTTTAATGACAGGACCCAAAAAGTACAACACAGCTAGAGTTAAGTAACTATTACTTAGTTATAGAACTCAAAAGCGGCCTCCATAGTCTAGAGGTAACTTTCCCACCTCATGACTCGTGGTACGCGGGTTCAAAAACCCGACGGAGGTCGTGGAATTTTTAAGAGCGGAAACATTCAGGGAACAAGTCCTCCGGGAGGGACTTNAAGAAAGGGACTAACTATTAGATACCACTGCCAGTAAGAGGTTGGAACCTCGCTGGCAGAAAGGGGCTGATAGTAAGCACCAGTACAGGTAGGGTATGGAGACAGTAGAAATTAAAGGGGGGCGCACAATGGACCAGTAACCGGTCTAAGTGCATGGGGGAAACCCACCCCCTCAATACAGAATACAGAATAGTTATCAAAGGTGGAAACTGCTTAACTAATTCTTTGCTTACAGAATCGATGCTTGCATTAATGTTTGAATAACTAATTCTACAGCTACAAAACGTCAACTCCCTTTTCTGTAGCATCCATTTTAATGTTATATTCATATTACATTGCTATATATGACCCTTTTGCATGGGACTTCCCTTGTGTCCTGCAGTGTTACATGAACAGACCATCTTTATTTAACTAGGTGAGAAGTTTCCCAGTAAAGTGGACCATAAGTCATGTGAACTGTTGTCTGGTTTAATGTCCCGTTAGGGAAGAAATTCTGAAATAGCAAATATGTTAGGAAATGCACACATGGCGGCCTCTTTCTTTTTATGCTTCTGCACTTTAAATTCTTATGAATTGTATAATGACAGCATAAATATCCCATTTGCTTGACTGCCTCGAAGACCATAATGCTTAAGGTAAAAGCATATTTGGCGTAAGATGTACGTTTAATGTTTCTCTGCTGCTTTTGTTTGAGATATTTTTTCCTGTAAAAAATACGTGTATTAGCAAGTTAAGCTCAAGATGCGAACAGAAATGCTTGTTGGTCTTTATGCAGTATACTCGTTATTGTAATTCGAGTTTAATAAAAATTAAAAGTGTTTGGATGAATTTTAAGAAACGTCTCTATTATCAAATTTAATGAAAATCAGCTCTTAGTTGTTACCCTTGTTACATACGGATAGATACACGTGTATACAGAAGCTAATCAGTATTTTACAACTTTTCGTTTCGAACAACCGAAAAACAATGAAAAATACATCTCACTTTCGACACCGTGTTACTGTATGGGAAGGGAGAACTAATACGAATATTAAGACAGACATGTAAGAAGTACGCAGTTTTAACTTCTCACCTAGTTAAATAAAGATAGTCTATTCATGTAGCATTGCAGGACACAAGGAAAGTCCCATGGAAATCGGTCATATATAGCACAAGCGATCTGAAGATAACATTAAAATGGATGCTACAGATAAGGGGTTTGAAGTTCTGTAGCTGTATAATTAGTTATTCAAGCAGTAAGTAAAGAATTACTTAGTTAAGCAGTGCTCCACCTTTGAGTTCTATAACTATTTTTTTTATTGTTAGCGGGGAGGGACTAAGTCCCTTGTACTGTGGCCACTTCTGGCCTATTGTACCAGCCCCAGATGATAGGTGAGGGTGATTGTGGAGCAGTTGGTGGAATGAAGATTGGCAGGGGAAACCGAAGTACTCGGAGAAAACCTGCCCCAGCGCCACTTTGTCCACCACAAATCCCACTTGACCAGACCCGGGATCGAACCCGGGCTGCCGCGACGTGAAGCCAGCGACTAACCGCTTCTCTATGGCGCGGCCTAGTTCTATAACCAAGTAATAGTTAGTTAACTCTGGCTGTGTTGTACTTTTTGGGTGCTGTAATTAAATAATTGCTGTAGTATTTAGTCACGCAGTCTTGTACCTGTAAGTTGTACAGGGAGGTTCTTACCTATGTTGACCGGTTCATCGAAACATCAGCCAGACAGCAGAGTTCCATCTGCAATCACGTGCGGGGTACTAGGATGTTACTCACGTCTTAACTCTGCTTCACCTCTCCAGATTTACGATTCCCGCTGGATGGAGCTGTTGAGCTGCATTTTTCTGCCACTCCTGAGATACGCCTGCCTTCCCCTGCCCCCACCCCCGCTGTCCCAGTCGATACAACTGATGATCCAGTGACCAGGTGGGACAGTTACGAGAATATTGTGGCCATGGGATCGCCACTAGATGGTGACACCGACACTGAAGACATAAATGGTGAGTCTGTACAGCATGAAAATATCTGTATTGGTTTTTTCTTTTGTAGGTATGACATAAATGCAGACTATATCGGAGACCTTTACATCAACTTTGTATAGTTTAATAGTCAGAACTTTTAAATTACTCAGCAATTAAATTCAGCCATAAACATCATATGTTCCCTTTGTTTATGTTACTGATTGTTGTAGTTGCATATATAAATTTGTCATACCATAGCGCAGGTGGTCATTCGCCAGCCTCTCGACATGTAGTCCATGTGAAGTTGTGATGGACAAGGTAGTAAAGGGGCAGGCTTCTCTGTGCGCACTTGAAGCGTCTCTTACTGGTTTCCGTTCCACAGTCTTCCGTCAGGGGTTAGTACTCCAATCTGTAGCCAAAAGACCAAGGAGTTTTGCGTTGACTCATTTCTACGTACAACACTCATATAAATTATACACGTATTTGCAAGTAATACTTTTAATTAAAAACGTCTTAAATGTTGTAACATAATTTTGTCTGCAATATTGTATTATGTTAGGGTATTTAGTGTCGTGAGAAAAGGCATAATTACCATGAACTGTAATTTGGGAATAAACCACTGGGAAGACCAAGGCATAGGTGGGTGGGCAGTATTAAAATGAATATTAGAGACAGGATGGGATGGTATGGATTGGATTGATCTGACTCGGGATAGGGATCAGTGGAGGGCCCCTGTGAACACGGTAATGAACCTTCGGGTTCCATAAATTGCTGGGAAATTCTTGAGTAGCTGCAGAATTGGCGGCTTCTCAAGAAGGGCTCAGCTCCATGAGTGATTGAGTAATTTTGGAAGTGTTTTGAATAGATAGCCCGTGCCCTATTCTGGGATACTGTCCTGGCCTGGAAAGATAGAGAATCAGGGAAATTCTTCACGTCATTGTGTGTTTCCAGACCAAAATGCGAACCAAGCCTTCAAGAACACAAACAAGTTCCACTGAACACCACAGCATAATTGTCGATACATTTGATTTTATTTATTTAGGATATTCCTTTCTCATGTCAAGGAAAATTTAGATTGTGGTCTTTTGATTTATGAGCTGTGCGGCTTCATAGGCTATTACCAGTGTTCTGGACGAACCTAGTGCCTCCATGTTCAGGGAAGAATTAGGAGGAAGTATGTTTCTCTGAAACATTAGCAACCACTTAACCATAGTCGAGCATGTCATAATGTTGACGTAATTTACATGTTAGTAGCCGCTGTAAGGAAGATCATGAAGACCTGCCAGGTTATTCAGTCTCCAGGCCTAGACTCGAACCGAAGTCAGTCAGAATTCGAAGTATTAATACAGTTTCGTTTAATTTGTGTGTTCTTCGGTTTGTAAATATATTAGCAGCTCCGTGTGTGGATGTCATTGGGAATATGCAGACTTGTCTTATGAAATTTTAGCTCTTGATGTACTTCTTGTTGGAAGTTCCTCTGTCATAACCCTGTTCCCCATAATCTTGAAAGTTGAGAAGTAGACACAGTTGGCTCCTCCTGTCCGTCTCAAAGTTATGTTGCTAATCATTGTGGCACAGAGAATGTAGGGAAACTCGTTAAGTCCTGCATCAGCAGGGCATCCTGTCCCCACGAAGGAGAGAACTTTCACACACAGCTGGCGAACAAGAGAACTTTATTCATGCTGTATCCGGATTCGGGCCGGCGAACAAAATGTCTGAGAGATTTGTAACCATCCCATAACTCATGTATAATCTCTGGTAGGTGTGGATTCTTCTTGGTCAGTTGACAATTACTCAGCTGATGAAGAAATTTGCATTGTCCAGTTATGCTGTCATTCACGTACACGTTCTCAGTCAGTCAGTGAATCAGTAGGTAAATCATCAACCATTTCACTTCGTTGCTTAGTTGGACTGTCAATCACGGAGTTAGTCGTGTGTCAGTCAAGAGTTGACCAGTCAGTAGTCATTTAAGTACCTGTAGTTTTCCAGCAACCCAATCGGCCATACAGCCAGTTAGCTGACAAGTCAACCAACGAGTTACCCAGTCATTCATTCAGTCAGCAGGTTACTTAGCCAACTAGGCCTTGCCATAGCTAGCCATAGGCGGTTATTCTCCGGTTTCCCACCGCGGCGGCCCGAGTTCGAGCTCCGGTCAGGTTATGTGGGATTTGTGGTGGACAAAGTGGCACTGGGGAAGGTTTTATCCGAGTACTTCTGTTTCCCCTTGCCAATTCGTATTGCTCCATCAATCGCCATCATCTGTCGTCCGGAGCTGGTACAATAGGCCAGTAGTGGCCGCAGTAACAAGTGGACTCTCTCACCGCACAGCCAGATACCCTGTTGATCAGCTAGTCAGCTAGCCAGCCACTGAGCCAGTCAGCCAGGTAACCAAATATTCAGCAAGTCAGCCAGCCAATCAGGCAGTCATTGTCTTCACATAAGCACAGCTACAGACCCGGCCTTCAGTATTGGTCCAGTGACAATGGAAATGTTAAAGAGAATGTTGTCGGACAACTTTCAAATACCCATGTCAAAACAGACTCTTCCGGAAAGCATCTCGTCTCTTCTTGCTTTTATCCAGTATAACAGGTTTGTATGGGATTCGACAGACGTTTATTTCTTCACTGGCGCCATATAACGTCTAACGGCGCCATTTCTTTCATAATAACGTAATGCGATGTCTCTAAAATTTAAACCTCTTAAAAGTCTGATAGGTATGTAGAGAGTACATGATGTTGCGCATCGATTCAAAGCCATAAAACTGTTGAAGTGGCTCCTCAACCGATCCTTTCAAGTTCCATGTATACAGTGACGATATGAATCGTAATGGAAGTTCTGTAAACAGTCGTACCAACACATTTGCTAGTGCAGTGTTCTGTTGTCCTGTTTCTTTTTCTGAAGACAGTGAAACAGGGACCGGAATCGGCTGTAGTAATGTAATGTGTCATTCATGCGGCCAGATCTGCCTACAGATTGAGACATTCGCCCATATCAAAGATGAAAGTCTTGGAAATTTGAAGAATTCCATCATCCTCCCCCTTTCACCGGTGATTCGGAGTCCCACCATCATCATCGGGAGTAACGCCATCCGCCCTCTGGGTGCTCCTCCTCAGAAATGCAGTCTACGCCTTTATGGAAGTCAGAGCTCGGAAAGGCCTGGCGTTACTAGAAAGCAGCCAGCAATTTAATGGGGACTCACTGTCGCCTGGGACCTGACGTCCTGTAATTCGATACCAACATTTCATAGGCAAATGCTTATTCTAGAAGAAGATTGTTTAAAAACAGTGGCACAAGACGTGAAAGACTGTATTAGTTTTAAAAAAATTTAGAATTATTTTCAACCCTGAAGTTAGAGGCAGCATGTTCTTCTGAAACGCATTATCCACATACCAAGCCCCACGATGTCGTAATCCAGAAGATGACAATCTGATTTCCACAGTGGGGAATATCTTACGTAATTATGGCGACATGTACTGTTATCGTGTCTCTAGCAAGGCAGTGGTACTAATTCTGTCGAACATATCATCTGTGTTACGTGAGAATAGCATGTGTGCCATTTGAAGAACGCGATTGTTGTGAAACTTTGTATTGTGACGTGTAGACCTGTTGTTAAGCAGTGATTCTGTAAACAGAGGCCATTGCTAGGTAACGCACGCGACAATAATGCAACGGGGTTATGCAACCCGTTTCTAGCCAACCACTGGGTAAACACGTTCCCGCGGAAACGAACACGCGCATATCATTTGAAGAACGGTGTTTTCTGTTGGGTCCGCCCCGAGACTATATAGCGAGGACCTCAGGGCGGCTAAGTGAAGTAAAGTGAAGTGGTTGGTTGGTGAGGGAGAGTGTTCAGCTGAGGGTTGACAGTTGAATAGAGCGCGCTGCGCAAGGAAGGCCGAGAAGCTATGGCGGTATAGTTGAGTTGACAGTTGACAATAGTTCATTTGCGGGATATTCGTCGGACAGTAACGACGTGAGCGCGACAAACTGAAGAATCTCCACTGTTAGAAGCCGTTGCTAGGGAACGGCTATTGAAGACAATAGGCAGGAAAAAGCTTAGTGAGTTAGTGGTGATCTGTAAAGTGTGGCGCTGTAATCACTTGTAGTTCCGAATGGTATGTGTAAGTGGTCAATAAATCCACGCACCAGCCCATACCTCGTCTATAATCACCCCCAAAATGTGACAGTATGGTGGAGATTAAAACCAAGTCGCAGTTTAGGAGAAACAAACGCAAATTAAACAGAGTAGCGCTGAAGTGCAATTGAAATGAGGCTTACCAAGTAGAAGGGAAACGCAATGAGTTGCTTGTTAGCATGCAAACGTTGACACGGACTACAGTTACATAAGTATCCTTTTTATTATATTAACGTGGGCAATTTGTAAATGAATTGCAAACTTTCCGTGTTTCGCGGATGTTCAAATTACGATTCTCAAGCCAGAGATGTCATGAATTTAAAGGAGCCCAGAACGCGCTCAGTTTGTGTATAAACGTACGTTGACATTTTACAATATGAAGTGTGGGGGAGGGTTGTCGGCCTTTCTTTTGTGCTTCTCCTCGGGGTTAGCTGCTAAAGGTACGTTGTAGTCGCAGCGTCTATCGACAGCGCTTAAAGCTAGAGCCTTGTCAGATGATCTCATCTAATGGAAAACAACTTTATAAAAGCATAATATTAAAGGAAATGTAACCAGGGACTACAATGAACTGCGCATATGTGGGAAGAGAGTCGCTGTTCGCACACAACTCCCGTCGGTATAGTCGTGCGCTGGAGAAACATCGGCCGACTTTGAGTTCGCTGTTGGTATTGTGTTTGTGGCAGCAGATGTCTTCAGGATCGCATTTACAACGGCTCGACATCTTTAAGATCGAATAAATTTCTGTTGATTAGTATGTAGTATATCTGTAAAGGTAAGGTAAAGTTGTCCCTGTGCTTAACTAATTAAGCGCTACGGCATGAAGGCGTATGGGGAAGTGATGTATAGATCCACGTTTTCTTGACCTCGGCAGTAGCTGGAGGTGAGTGATCGGCTTCACGCCCCG